GCCATCAAATCTGGTTCATCTTGACACACTCCGAAACTTTCCTCGAGTTTCCAAAAAAGGGCGTCGAAGTAGGTGGGGATTTATTATGGTAGGAGTCCTCCCCATGCCCTTCCAGAACTATACCACTTTCCCACTAGAATCACTCAAAACCGTCCCTACACCGTCCCGCCCTCCCTACACGCCAGGGAAGCCTCCAACAGTCCGGCTTCCCTGGTTGACGTCCGCTCATTGAAACAAAGAGCATCTTTACCAAGCAGACTTGGCTGTTAACTTGAAGTTTTCTCAGGAAAACAACCTGGGATAATCTAGCGAATTTACGAAAATTGACACCGTGGGATCAACCGTTAATTTCGAGTTTCTAAGCTTTAGGAACTTTTACCTTACAACAACAGAAGAACAGCAAACTTTACCCAGTCAGGTTTTGAAAAAGTTACCTGCTAAGGACCAAAATTTGAAAGAAAAGAGTAGGTTCCATGTTCCCCCTCGCAAAGCTTAAAATGTAGCTTCAATTGCTTATTGGCTTGAAATAGGAATAAATCAAATTTTTATACTAATGAATTAAGCTCCTGAACCTCTTGTACGAACCTCTAAACTAAGCTTTGGACGTTTTTTGAAGAATCAAGTCCCACAAAAGATTTCACCTTTGGAAAGAAATTCTCCCAATTCTATGAATTCCATGTCTTGTCTTTACCGCGCTATTTCCTTCCCAAATGAGGCAAAATCGACAGTTCGTCGAAAACTTCCTGAGAGCAGTCGGATTCCCCTTGTTCTGGGAGCACTGTTGACGACCTGTGGCACCGTGGAACTCGTCGCCTTCCCACGCTGGAATCCTTTCACGGAACAGGAGGCTGCGTTCCACCTTTGTCCACCAGAACGCCTTTGCTCGACGAAATTTCGCCTGGATTCGCTCCCAATGACTCGTGCGCGCCCATCGTCGTTCGGGCATCGTCGTCCGCTTGTGCTCCTGCTTCCACATTGCTATCCACTCATCATTATGTCGGCACTAATGCGACATCTTCCACCTCCGTCGATTTTTATCGCCCACGGTTGACAAAGCGACGATAGACAAACGCGAGGACGGGTGGACAGACGACGATTGCCAGGGATATTTCAACCCCGGCTTCTCTTCGTTCGGGGTCGCACAAGTGATGCCGCTTGTGCGGCCTCGAGTCACTCTCGAGGGTCCGGGCCATTCTGTCTCGTTTTTGTCGCTCCGAGGTGTCATAATTCGTTGTCTTGTCGCTGATGAGATGCACATGTCTCTCCCTATTATCTCCACTTTGAAATACCATTCCAACCCGTCGTCCCACATGGCTCGCCCGCCTCCCGTCACTTTGCCATTCTATTGTGTTGCGTCGTCTTGTTGTCCGTACTAAGAAAACCTACTCTCTCCAGGACCCTAATTTGTTCGTACCCCTATGGTTGTGAACTGAAGATTGTATGGCTAACCAAAGGAGTAGTCAGCTGACATCAGCTCAAGGCTATACGGTAGTTCTCGAAATCAACCCGACCTCCCGTTTAGCGCTTTTCTCTATGTGTCAGCTTTTCTTCAAAATGTCAGCAGCCCATGCAATCGTCATTTCAACGTGCGGGTTTTTCCTGCCGACGAACCTTCAACAGAAAAACCCTCGACGCGATTTTTGATCGACGCTTTTTTAACTGTACGCCCAACCCTAAACCAGGACTTGAGTTATCAAAGCTTTGAAATGGAGTAATTTATTGACCGACTCGTAAATAGGGTTTTTCAATCACTGAGAAGTTCCTGCTTCTGAGACGGGCCATTTCAACACTGTCTCGCATCTAGGCCCAAATCGTAGTGGACTTGTTGCTTACACCGGCATAAAAGATTGAGCTCATTTCTTCCATATAAGCCTCCAGTGCACAGAAGGGGGGGGGCATCGTTATGTCGAAATCCGACACATCCAGCATTTCTCCTCCTAGTTACCTCTAAGCTTGGGGGAACTAGAGAAGGGGTGTATGTAAGCATTTCCGTTTCCTCCAGGGCTCATCTTCTCCTTCTTGGGCTTCATCCGCATGGCAGTGTCCCCCCCCCCTAAATACGATAGCGCCCATATCCGACTTTTTCCCCGTTAGACCCTAAGTGAATCGTTCAAATATGCACGATAACCCCCTCCATGCCCTCCTCAGGTTGTCTTACGGCGCTATCGCAGGATACGGGGGCATTATGTGCAATGCACTCGAGAACGCTGCGACCAATCTTTTTCTCTTGACCGGAATAAACTCAGCTCTCCGCACCCTAGACTTCCGCGAATATTTGCCTCCCTATACCCGCTTTTACCTTAGCCCTTAGAAGAATCCCCTACCCTATCTTCGCTGTCTGGGTAAGGAGTGTGATGGAGATGAAAACCTCCTGTGGAGAAGTGTCATGACGTGCACCGAACGCAGAGCAAATCTCCCTCTCTACTACTGGCATAGATCCTATAGCTACCATCTCGACCAAAGCCCCGACCCCAGAAACTTTGCGTCCACTTGCTTGGCATAGTCCCTCGCCAGCCGTCTAGAAGTTAACCGATCGATTGAATCCGAGGGCAACGAGTGCTGATAGACAAAGTAACTGTCCGACAAGCCGCAAGAATGAGCTGACTGGAGCAAAAGCCGGTACGGCCGGCAGATTCCGATGGCGATGTGACGAGATGAGGCACGTGGCTGGGCTTATCCCAATCAGATAACACGTGGCACAATGCTGTCAACCCGAGCCATTCATTGTCGACTTTGGTTCGCCCGTCGAGCGGTAAGCACTGTACCCCAGTTTCTGTAAGCTCCAAACGCCGTTAGTCCGATGTGTTACAGACTCCCAGCGAACTCCTTGCTAGCTTTCGCTCCTTCTCTCAGTTCAGACAATTTGCCTTTCCTGAGCCGCCTCCTTAGGCGCCATCCAACCAAAGGCATTATATCGCTATGTATTTTGGAACCACTTGACCACACTTTTTACCCCTTGAAAATCCTTTCTCGCTCGTCGTCTTCTCCTAGAGATCCCCCTATTTTACGATAACGCCCCGTTCTCAACTGAAGATATCCTTCCAAGCCTCATAGTTCTTCCAACAAATCTGCGCTTTTCGTTTGACGTCGTTCGACGCGGTTTCCAGCCGAGTTAATGAGAGCTCAGAGTTGAGCACCACTGGACCGTAGTCATGTATTTTGTCAACTCGCGTCACATTCTCGGGTCATTAATGGAACATTTCGAATTCTAGAAATCCCTCCGGCTATGAATGCCTCGCGCCCATGCTCTCCGATGAAATTCAACACAATACGTGACCTAACGCCTAAGAACAACGCGTCGAAAGAAGGGCAGCGAGCCCCCTCCCCCTAACCTTTTTTCACAGGCGCTACCTCAAAGCTTGGAGGCTGTCCCTAGCTATCGAAACAGGGGTTTCGAGGATTACAGTTAACTGCGATGACTCATGAAAATATATTTTATTTAATGGCTCTGCTTGTCAGTTTCCCCATTGTTAACATTTCACTAAGGCGCTCATGTCGTTGGGGGGGCGGGGGGGGGAGAGGGAAACATTCGAGTAAGTGAGCTATCTACTGTGCTTAGGGCTAAGCCTTAAGGAAAGAGAAAACTTTGATGGAGTGTGTAAGCAATTTGGGTTCTACCTGGCGCTTCTCCCCTCCCATAGGCTTAGACCCAGAGTCCCATTGGCCCTGTTTGACTGTCTCCCTAACTCCCCCCTCAAGAAATAGCCCTCAGGCTATGGATTTGAAATCAAAAACATACCTGAGTATTCTGTGACTATAGCTGGCCGCTGGCCCCGGGGTATGCCTCGAAAGAGATGGACGTTATTTCTAAAGCGAAGAAGCGAAATCATCGCCGCGCGACTGAGGCGGGCGGTTCCTTTCCCCTCTTAAGAATGCGACATGTGATTCATCGCGCGCGATCATGCTATCGCGCAGCGAAGTTCCCATTTCAAAGAAGCGCTCATGGCCCTGGGGAGGGGGTCAAAACAGGGCATCTTAAAACTGCGATGGTAGGTGGCACTAGAAATAAGCCCAAATGCTAGGGCTCACGGATACATGATTCTTCCTCGATAGTTCGTGCGCGAATGCTAGTCACAGAATATAGAAGGAAATTGGAATACCCTGTGACAAGCGGAGGAAAGAGGGACCCACGAGAGAGCGCAGAGGCGGTTCAAAGGACTGAGTTCGAGTAATCTGTCGACCAAATACCAGGGAGACCGAAAATTGCTCACATCGGCCCCCAGAATCCCTTTCTCCCTCCCTAAATCCTAGTTCCGAGTACTGTAAATGGCGAACGAGTGCCCCCTCTCCCCCCAACGACATGAGCGCCACCCCATACCTCCACACGTAAAGCAGCCTGATTGCTGACCTCCGATATATTAGCTCCCGGCCAGTGCTTTGCTGAGATGAGCAAGGTCCTGCCAGCCGCCCATCGACTACGGTAAAGCCCCTCCTTAACTCTTTCGTAACACCTTCGCAATAACTGGATAGGTGTTGAATGCATGGCGCACACCCAGCTTTCATTACATAGAAAGCGCTTTTGAGGTTTGAACCCATGTCGGCCCTTCTGGAGATGGTATCTTCGGAGACGTCTGAACAGCCGTCGTCATCAGAATGTCGTGTTTGAGGGGTGTCGAGGGGCGCGGGCGCGCGTATCGAGGGTGACTCCTCGGGGACTCATCCGAAGTGTTCAGTCGCCTCGTCCTGAAGCGGGTGGCCTATTGACAGCCATCGCTGAAATATATAGGGTGACGAAACGGCCATCACTCATAGCGACCCTCTAAATCTCAACGCCTCTCCCACGGATGGCAGAAGCGATACCATCGCATTCCCATACTCTTTCCGAGATCGCTACCCAATTACTCGTCTCCACTACTGTTAGCCCCGCTTTCGTCCGATTTCACCGTTTGAAATCGCTGTTTTTTATCTCAGCATTCCCTTCAGAATAGTGGTGATCTCTGTTACAGAATCGTGACGGCTCGTTGATTTCTTCGTGGAGCGCTCCTGACGAATTTCTCACAATGGAACGACTAGGACAGTTCCCGTTATGTGTGCCATTGTTACAAGGACTTCGACCATCATTGCCGCCATGGCTGCCACTTGCACTTCCTTCAATGCCGCCATCACTACAAAGTGTTCTTCCCCAACCAGGTATACTTTCGCTCCCACTCGTCAGTATTTGGCCAGTACTACTGTAATATTTATAGTACATCCGGCCACGGATTCCCTGTCGGTGACCACAGCCACAGAGGAGGATGTTTCCGTGAAATCCGAAACGACTGACGAGGCAGCGATCGGTAGAAGTCCAGCTGTTGAAGTGACGGTTTCCTCGACATCTCCAATGCAACGGACGGCCGGTGAAGCGATTTCACGGCCCGATTCGGCTGAGTCGAGTATTCTGAGTGAGGTAAGTAGAAGTATTGGTCATAAAACGCCTTCAAAGATTGCTCTGGTCTTTTTAATAGGCAATTGTGACCCTCGGAGGGCGATGGACTGGGTGGGGTTG